GCTTAAGCTATCATATGTTTGATAGTAATTAGTATGTTTATCTCTTTTTTTCCATATACCTTTTCTTAGGCTATCATGTTTGGTAGTAGGTCATCTTTCCTTTTGTATTTACCTTTGTTTAGACTATCATATATTTTGATAGTAGGTAGTATACACTTCCTTTTGATCAGTTACTTTGTGATCAGTAGTAGTTACTTTCATTCAACAAAACCTCGACATTAGGTGTTTCTTTTTAATTTCTAGCAAACCTCGGTAGAAGGTGGCTCTATTTCATATTCTTTGGTAAATCTTGACAGTAAATTCTCCGATAAATTTTAAAAACAGAATTTTCATCAAACCTCGGCAGAAGGTATTTTATTTTTATTTCCTGGTAAGTATCGGCAGAAGATTTCCAGTTTTACCTCGGCGAAAGAGATTTTATTTTCATTTCCTGGCAAGTCTCGTCAAAAGATTTCTAGTAGACATCGACAAAAGGTGTTTCATTTTGTAAATTCTCTGGTTATTCTCGGCAGTAGATCTCCAGCAGACTTCAACTGAAGATATTTCTCTGTTTTCAGGATCTCGACAATAGATTATCTGGTTAACTTTGATGCTTCTTTAAACTTCAGCATACAATTATTTATTTTCAAAATCTCAGTAGTAGATTCCCTAGTTAATCTCAGCAGCAAATTTTCCAGTAAATTTTTTACAGTTAACACATTTTTCAATAAAACCTTGGCAGAAGGTATTCCCAAATGAGGTCTTAAGTCTCGACAGTAGACTTCTCCAGTTGATATCTCTTGAAATCCTCACAGTTGACCTCGACAGTACGTTCCCCAAGTGGATTTTGTTAAAAAGATGCTGTCACAAGTTCATCACCATATATTTAAGATACCTTGTGATTGTCAGTTGATAATCTTTTCCCCTGTGGAGTTGAGTCTCATCTCCGGTGGAGTTGGATCTTTTCTCCGTAGATTCTTGCTATGCTAAGTTGTTCCTCATCGAGTCTTCCATTCTTAATGTGTTTCAGCGTTGTGCGTATACAGTTATCTCATATGGCATCTTTTCTGTCACAAATCCTTGTCTTACATTCATATTATTTTATGTTATATCATGTGCATCTTGTGGCACCTTAGGGCCAAAAATTATGCATGTTTATATTTAAGTTTCTCTTATCACGTCGACGAAGATTTCAATCTCCATATTTCCAGATAGAAGAAACTTAAATAGGGGCATCTTCATATCCTAATTTTTTACTCTAAGATTCTGTTTTTCGTTTTGCATCATCTGCATAGCATAGCATGCACTTCATCTTGCATAGTGTCTGAAATGTCAGTTAGAATAAATTTGTTGAATTTACAAACAAACCGGTCTAAATTTATTTCAAAATGTAATCAAATGCTATATTTTTCCAATATGTTTATTTCGCGCTGATTACTTTGGTGTGTTCATTTTATTTTTCGAACACTTTTCTGCCCGACTTTTTATTTCATTTTTAAATCATTTTTATTTAAATAATTATTTAATTTATTTAGATTTAATTAGATATTTAATGTAAATTTTATTTTTATTAATTAATTTTATTTTTAATTAATTTATTAATATTTTATTTTAAAAAAACACAAAAACATAATTTGTAATTCTTTTTATTCTTGTCTTATCATAAAAAAAAAACACAAAAACATGATTTTTAATTCTTTTTGTTCTTATTTTATTATAAAAAACACAAAATTATAATTTTTAATTCTTTTTATTCTTGTCTTATCATAAAAAACACAAAAATATGATTTTTAATTCTTTTTTTTCTTATCTTATCATAAAAAACACAAAAACATGATGTTTAATTCCTTTTATTCTTGTCTTATTATAAAAACAAACAAAAAAAATATTGTGTTAATTGTTATTATCATTCTTGTCTATTTTCTAGTCCTATATATGCATTAGTAAAATGACTTGTGATTCAAGTTAATCAATAACTTGATATCCAATTCTCATTGCGACAGTATGATAGGACGGTTGCAAAGGGTAGCCCACTACTTCCTAGTAAATAGAGGAGTGATGATTACCTTTTGGATTTCTGCACGTCTTGATTATACTATTGAAACGGTGTGGTCATGAAGATCATGACGTCATAGCAGTAACGGTACAGTAGTGTCGAAAAAGCTTCAAGCAGTGTCTTTTTCTCTTTGCAATTGAAAATGATATTTTTGAGGACAATTTGTTGGCTGAGATTTCGACACTCATTAATGTTGGAAGTAAGTTAAGAGATTTCAAGGTCATATTATGAAGAAGAACATGATGAATTCGGAAAAAAAACAGTGACAATGATGTTTCGACGGCAATGAAGATTTGAAATGGGTTGGTGGAGTTTGAAAAATCATTTTGAGAGAAACGATGTACGTTTCGACAAGAAAATGGTGAAGATCTAGTCGTAGAAATCTTTGCATAGAATACGTTATGGTCTAAGAGTTAGAAAGATTTTTGCCTAAATTGGAGTTCGATGACGTCCATTGAAAGAAGCGTTTCGACGGATGGAGTTCAAATGAGGATGATAACTACATTTTGACTTTATCCGTTACTTAGGACACATGGAGGATTTTAAGGAGACCAAATGCATGCGGTATGGAACGTGGCGCATTCTGGTGGAATAACTGTTAGATGACGGTTATTTTTTATTTAGTATAAATAGAGCACTTAGCATTTAAAATAGGGGTGTTCAACAATTGTACAAAACTCTACATTTTACTTCAGGTACTTGTGTGTGAGAAAATAATACTTTTGAGAGAATGTACGTTCGAATATCTTTCTTTACAATAAAATTCATTTAAATTTCAGTCATTTACCTTTACTTGCAATTTACTTGTCATTTCTCTTCGAGCAATTTATCTTTCTGCAATCTACATTTCTTTTCTTACTTAAAGGAAACCACAATGTTATTTTAATAACTTTGGAGAATATTTGAAGAACATTGTATAAATATTCATGATTATTAAAACTAAAAACTAAATAACAACACATGTTCTAGGATCAATCTAATTGATCCTATAAGTAACCAGAGATTTAATAACTATGAAGGACTAGCGGTTGTTTGCCATTTTTGACAGTAAACAGTTGTTAGACATCACCACTTTATGTTTATAATATTTAACGAGTGAGTTAATATCATTGTCAACATTATGAAAATCTTCAAGGTCACACACATAAGGGCACAAATATGAGAGATTAAATAAATGAATCTTCATTTATGATTTGGTGGTGTGTTCTTACGATGTATCGATGTTAATATAGAAACCTTATATTAAAATTACACTCACTTATTCAATTCTTTCTTCATAAGATGGAATGGATATGTATTCCATTGCAAATGTAGTCATTATAACCTTAGGAAAAGCGGATGTTGTTAGCGATCTCAAGTATGTAATAACTCGATTAAGAATTTAAGAGACACAGAAAATTTATTTGTGTACTATGTTTTAAGTAGAGATTGGTCGTGCAGTTAAAATATTACATTTTTCTAAGGTACTAGTTTGTTCACCGATCTAAAAAATTGTTAGAATAATAATTTTTAAGTGAAGGTGTCTTGCAATTCAAATATGTTTGTTGACAGTGATTGTTCTACAACTGCCAAAAATGAGAGTATATACGACCAAGTCAGTAGATGCCATGAATGTGACAAAATGTTTGTTGACAATAGTGTTGTACAACTTCCAAAAATGAGTGTATTCGTAAACAATTTGACGATCCAGTCAGTAGAGACATATGAAATTTAAAACATAATAGTGTATGCTTAGAGGCTGTGAATGTGAGATTTAAAATTTAGAATAGTGTATAGGTGAATCTAAACCATTAATTAGACTTTATATATAAAAAAAATTAGAACTTAAATACCTAAACCTTCTTTGGGTCAATTTTCAAGAGATCTTTTAGCTTCTCTCATCAGATACTCTATAGAGACCGTCTGACCCTTGTCCAATATGTCTCTCATCTAACGGAAACCGTCCGACCCTTATCCAATATGCCTCAACGGCGTGTCTATTCCTTGGTCACCATTCATGACTTGGACAACTTGGTCTATTATGGATTGAGTCTTGACCCCCTCCAAAACACACTATTACAAATTGTCTTTCCAGCTCTTCTCTGTCTGACATATGTTGTGCTCTTGAAGTTGGCCTTGTTATCATCCTCTCAGTTCATTCTTTCAGAGTTATTGAGGTTCAATTAAGTTCAGAGTTATTGAGGTTCAATTAAGTTCAGAGTTATTGAGGTTCAATTAAGAATAGAAACGGATTACTGAGTGTTATCCAAAGCTTTCAAAATGTTAACAAAAAGTAATTCAAGTGATTGAGTTGAAACAGCTAAAAAGTACAAAAATCTAACGTTTGCTTGTACAAGGAACTTTTCCTTCTGGCCTGGTGACAACTGTTTTGTAATGTCAGACAATTTTTCTTAGTAATAACGAGTAAGGACACGGTGCTTTCAAAGACCATTACTAATAAATGATTTATCTGAACACAATTTCAAAAGTGCTCAAAAATACCTGAGATGAGACACCATACCACCTTAACATTGGAATGTGGGAAGTGTATTACCCCCTTCTGCGAATTTAGTTTATTTTATGGAAATCCATTTGTAACAGTCACATTCCTGCAAATCTCATTCATACAGTAGATCAAAGAATGGTGCTGAAATGCCAGTTGAAAAGCCCTAATGCTCGAGTTTTTTTATGGCTTACAACGTATAAATAACAAAATTGACTGTAATACTGTACCTTTTGTCATTTTTAGTCGTGGGGGCTAAGGAATACACTTTCAAATATTGTACTGAACATTATACAAAGGATTGTGAAACTAGAATGTAAAATATTTGGTGGAAGTAGACAAATTACTATAACAAAAATAGGGTTCACCTAATAAAAATCAATGCATTTGAATCTCAACGATACATGACTAGCACTATCCAATCATAATAGTAAGCCATTTACTAAATAATTTTACAATAAATTCAGTCAAATATTCACCAAATTATAAGAAATACGGAACACCTGTCCTTGGCCCTCTCATCTGATTGTTCTCCTCTGTTTCAGTGAAAAACTTAACTTCTCTCTCCTGTTACAAGAAAAGATGCAAGGGTCAATAACCAAAATGCTGGAAACATGCAAGCACTATAACAATCATTAAAATCCAAGTTTACCAGGTCACATATGTTATTTTCTAAGCATTTCCCTCACACCAACAAATGTTGCAACACTCAAGCATTCACATTGCAAGACAGTAATTTCATTAGGCTTGACAGTGAATTATGTACATTTACCACCTAAAGATCAAATCAAATAAATAGCAGGGATATAGGATTTAAGACAATCTTCTATGGACAAATTTAACATAATTGTCGCCCGAAGTATGTACCACCATATGCCAACTATAACACCAAAACTTGCAAATGAGTTCAAAAATAAAAAACTATTATTTTTTAACTAATGAAGTGTATTTGTTGACCCCTTCCATTTTACGAAGTAACTATACTTAATTATTGGCTTGAACCGACGACATACAGCCCAACTCAAAAAGCAGTTGTGCGACCGGACACGGATAGATACCCCTAGTAGTGAAGGTATACAGGTTACGACTGCAATTGTAAGTATTTAACAACAGAGTTTGATACCAAAAATACAAACCAAATTACAATAATGTTGAGGTCAAATGCTACTTACAGGGCAAACCAAAATAAAGGGAACCATTTTCTGTTCAAAGTCAAAAATTTGTGTAAATAAATCAAGGGTCAGAATATGGCATTACAACTACTCAGTCTCGTAAGAAAAATATATGTCTGTGTTGCTTCCGTATTATATCTTCCAACTTTTCACACATCAGACATGACCTCTGCTTCAATTTCTGCAGCACGTCTCCAAAGTCTGGAATACATTTGCTGGCCACTATTTTTATTGTTTTTAGGTCAGATTAACTGATCTTTGATCTTTGATCTATCCTACTGAGTTCCTCATACATTGTTACATCACTCATTTCTGCATCACCCTGAGAAGGCTGCATCCCCATCTTGCCCAAGGAGTGCACACAGCTGCCTTTTCAAGCTTTCTGTTGCCTAACCATGTTGATGCTTAACTACTCAATTACCCAAAAATCCTACTAAAACAGTCACCTATATTCCAGTCATCCCAGACTATCATGTAGCCAAATAGACCCTGCCATCAGAAGTAAGAAAATCTTATCATTGGGAAACCAGAAGCTTGTAGCCGATCGTGCCACTTTCCAGTCTGAGCAATTCATTTCTGTACTATTTTAGTTTCTAGTGTCCTAAACACCTTTTTTCAGCATCTTTAGTTCTCCATTTTTCAATTGTTACATAATTGTAATGTTTATTTCTAAGAAAAGTTATTTGACATTCATTAGTAGTATTTGGGCTGGTTCTGCAACCAGGAAATCTCTTGTCATCAATTTCCAGCAGTCACTCCCAACTCTAGTTTCATGTTCTTTTACAGTTCTCTAGCCTTGACCCTATATCATTTAAGCAAGCCTTTCCTTCAGCTATGAGCCATTATAATCAGTTTTCCGCAGTGTTGCTATACATCTATGAATCTTAATGAAGTTACAATTTGTTAAGCTTGCTAATTCATAGATTTTCTTTGACACTTCTTATGTTTAGATGTTTATATATAATAACAAGCTGAGTTACTTTAGCCGAGGGAATATTCTGATTAATAGGAAAGTTTTTTGTGACTTGTAGTGCAGCCAAAATAAAGAGTTTGGGATTGTGATGCACATTGAGATACAGCACATGCAAATATTCCAGTACAAGTAGATGAATTGCATTACAGGTTTTTCAATTCTGTTAAACATTTGGTGATGGATGCAGAACAAAAGTTTGGTGATGGACGCAGAACAAAAGTAGTTTCAGTGAGAAAAAGGGAAGAGAAAGGATTAGGGAGGAGCAATGAGGAAGAGGAGGGCTGAGAAAGAGTTATCAGGAAGAAGAAAAATATTGGAAATAATTTTACTTTGGATCATGTTTGTGTGGGGGACAAAAAATCATTCCATATATTAACTACTAATTTTAGGAATTTTTACATCAAATTATTATTTTTTGTCTGATGCTTTATTTTCTGTTTTATTGTAGTATTCCGTGAATATTTTTAAGATCAACAGAACAGGTATTTACAGTCCAATCCTTCATTTATCAGCAAATCGAACACACTAGGTCCGTTAAGTCAAAGGCATCAAAAAATTAGTTTGTTTTATATGCAATAATTTATATCACAATTAGTTATAGCCTCATCAGCATTCTGAAATAAATTTTCATGTATAGGTCCCTCTTCATCTCATTTCTTTCCTTTTCCATCTAATTCTAAAATTACAACAGCAACTATAAGAAAATGTGTAACTTCCTATGTAAATTTATTGATATTTGAATATGGTTTTGTTGTAATTTTAAGATTCTGGTTTGTTCAAAATTTAACGCCATGTCTAACTTGGCTATTTAATCCACACAAAAACCCATGTGCAAGCACAATCCCAGGACCCCATAAGTTAAAAATAACCACAACTTCAATTTGTAATCAGTGGAAGTGCTGATCCTAGGTTAGAGAAACACCTTCCAGCTGCCACCTCATAACATGCATGTGTCAGACTGATCTTAGCAAGAAGCAGCTTGAGGGAGAAATACAGGTACCATATTTCCCTCTTCTTTTCCTCCCTAATGATCTCCCTTTCACACTATCCAATTACTAAAGAAAATCCTCTAATATTAAAGCCATCATTTTGAATCAAGAAGAAATAATGTGAAGCATTCAAATCCTGATTCCACAAGTACTTGATAAATACTGGTAATAGTCATTCAAAAGTACATTCCTTGACACCCCATATGTGACTGACATTATAGATACATCTGTGTTCCACTGTATTGGATTCGCCACTATTCCTCAAGAAGTCATTTTTTGCTGAACAGTACCATCGAAATTTTAAGAATAAATGCCTTACTTCCAACAACTATAGGATTAAGGAGACATATATCCTCTATCTCTTGATTTCCTTAATATTAAGGTCAAAAAATAAAATAAAAAAATACTAATGGATGATATAAAGAAAGACAGCATGAAGTTAAAAGTTCTTCCCATATGAGATATGCGAAAAACAAAGGCACACCACATACATCATAGACCAAATGATGCTACAATAAAGATGGGTCTGAAAATATATACTTTAAAATAAAAAAGCTCCGGGTGACTTACCATATTTTCATTGAAACTAAGAATAGAAGCTACATTTCCACAACGGTAACAGTAATTAGGTGCAGACCATACCTGCAAATTTTTTTTTAAAAATTACTTTTTTATCTCAATATTTTCAAACAAAAAAGGAATCTGTGAAGAAAATTAAATACAAAAGCTACCAAGCAAGTTATCCCACAAGGTGTGGTCAGCTAAATGGATTAATCATGGGAAAAGGCTCTTCTCAAGTGATTTTGTCTGTACATTGAGCAAGTGAGGGTGTCTTAACACTTGTGTTGAGACATGATTGATTAATATATAACTATATCTCAACTTGTATAGAATATGAGGGATAGCAATAATCAATACCCCTTGCCGAGCCCCCAAACACTAAGCTCAACAATCAATAACAGTGTCTCTGACACTGCTTCAATAAGTGCCATATGCAAGTTTGAACACAAGACATTGCCGAGCCCCCAAACACTAAGCTCAAGTATCCTTACTTGAAACACCCCTTGTGAGTTCCCTTTACCCGTAAATGGACAATTCCAGCCTAAAGCTTCTGTAGGTCTTTTCACATGATCGACCGAACCACTTCAAAAGACCAGTTAATCAAAAAGAGAAAAATCCGCCTTTTAAAGATTCAGATACTTACAGTTACAAGGCCTTTATCTTGGAACATGTATTTAAGGCCTTCTTGTACAAGTTGATGTGCTCGACAAACAAGATCAAGGTTGTTTATGTGATTGAACTGCATGAATAGAAGAGTCTGAAAAATCCACACATAACATTCAATTCAATAAGCAATCGACAATTCATTACATTACCTCAGATGTAACCCTAGATCCGAAAAGCCAACCAGCTCCACGCGGACTGACTGCCCATGTTTCAATATCCTCAGGATCACTCCACATTAGATCACAAAATGGCCCCTCATGAGGAATTTCACAGTTCCGCTCAATGACTCTTATCTGCCATAAATTTTATATTACTATATTTTAAAAATATATATATAGTTGTTCGCCTTTCAAAGAGTAACAAAAAATATTTAAGCATATAAACTGATATCTTATGGTAGTGCTGAGAAAGTAACTTATAGAATACAATATTTCTGTTTCATGACATTATGTTTTTGTTACAAATTACAAATAAACGAAACACAAGATCAAAAGGAAACTGAAGGTTTTCTGAAGTCAAACTGTCATATAACACATTAGCGCCTGTTTGGATTGAAAAACAAATTGGCTTTCATTTCATGGTCTTTTACCCACAAAATGCCACCTTGATTATTCCCATCCCATACAGATCTTGATATCAGTAAATCAATTGAATTGTGAAATCAGGGTGGCATTATTGCGAAGTGTAATAAACAGGAAAGCATTAAATGATAACAGAAAGCATGTTTTCAATCCAAACAGGCCCTTGCCACGCTCTCAAACCAAACAGGCCCTTGCCAGTACCTTTTCGATTTATTAGCATAAAGTCAGGAAAAAATATATAAGTAGCATCCAATTATATGCAAGTTATAGATATATAAACAGGTCCTTGTCAAGTTCTTTATGTGTTATTCTTTTTATGTTCTTCTAATCACAAAATAAGCAAATCCAATTGCACCTAGTCTAATACTTAGATAATATAGATTTTGACCAGAAGCTGAGAAGGGAGCTAGAGAACCTGGTCAATTGTTCGGATGTCTGGAGAAAGGCCGCCGTGAACACAAAGCACCTGGGTGAACCAAAGCATATAAGAGAATAATGTTATCTTAAAGCCGAATTAAGAAACAAAAAGCTCATGCGCCGCTTACATCTGCATAGGGAACAGAGAGAGGGAGGAGGGAGAGAAAGAATAAAAGAGATTTACAGTTCCATCTATAATTGCAGAAAGTGTAAGATAGTCGAAGACATCGGTACAGTATCGCCAAGCATTAGCATTTCCATACTTTCTCTGGCATTCGTCATAAAATCCATAGACCTAGGAAAATATTAAATTACAACATCAACATAAATTGGTATCATAATTTTTCACATCTCTAATATCTAATCTTGACATTTTTTTCAATTATCATCTCTACAAGATCTTGTAATAGAAATCCGTAAATTGACATTTCTTACTAGCACTACAGCTAGAGCAGAAGTAGAAAACCCAAACCAGAATGATAGTTCACAAGTCCTTAAACCACTGAATAAATCAATTATACAATCAACAGACTCCTAACTTATTAACAAATTAAACCACTACTTTCCACAATACACATTTGACAACATTGGCTTGTTAAAATGACATGAATCAGAAACTTTAAAATTCTCTATCTATATAAGTTGTTTACTTAAAACCTCCAATAATTCATGTCAAGTATGATACTAAAGCATACCTGGGTGAGTTGTCTACTTTCATGATTTCCACGTAGAAGGGTAATATTAGCTGGGTATCTACAAAATCAAACAAAAAATAAAAAGATGCTTAAATAAAAAAGTATTAAGAAAGACACAATAACAATAGTTGAGATCCTCCAAACACAGCCCATAAATTATAAAGTCTCAAAGTAACTGCAGCATTACTCAAAGTCACACAAACCAATCTAAGTTAAGACAGATACAAGCAAACATAGATGGAAGCAACAAAACATACCTAGCTTTTAGAAGCAAAAGGATGGTGAATACTTCAAGACTATTGTAACCCCGATCAACAAAATCCCCCTAACACACATTTAGCAAAACAAAAAATATTCATTAAAAAAAAAAAAACATAACAACAACATAATCCAGATCCAAACAGTACATAACATAAGATAGTAGAATACCATAAAAATGTAATTTGTCTCGGGAACATGACCACCGGTCTGGAAAAGTTTCATTAGATCATGAAACTGACCATGAATGTCACCACAAACAGTTACTGGACTATTGACAGGTTGCACATTGGACTCCTCAATAAGAATCTCTTTAACCTGAAACAGAAGAAACATAAATAATCGCTTTACTAATTCTAAACTCAAACTAAAGCAAAATTAATTAATTAAAAACAGCATAGTAATAATAATAAAACAATAATAGACAAATCTTCATCGGAACCAAACAGTGCCCTAAATCTTCATCGAATAATAAACACCTCGTGGATTTGAAATTAAGGAACAATTAAGCATGAATCGATTGAAATTGAGAGTGAAGGTGAAAGTGAAACCCTAATAAGTGGAGAGAGAAAAGAGATAATACGTATTCGCAGAGAAGTTGAAGTTCGTCTTCGAGAAGGTGTTGGCCATCTTTAACCTTCGAGATCCACTGGTCCAAATCCATATCTCAGTCAGTCTCTCTCTTCTCCTTCGGCGGTGCTAAAATACGAAATGTACCAAAACAAGAGGAGAAGGAGGAAATGAGCGTCTCGATTCTCTACTAACAATTACTTTCCCTCCAGTCAACAAAAACAATTAGTAACATCTAGCTAATATAACTTTTTTTTAATAATTTTAATAACCATAATTTATGTCCAATAAAGGTAGTAAGATCAAATGATAAACCAGTTTCTAGCTAATTTCATAGTAATAATTTAGTCTAAAAATAATAATATTAGTGATAATATATTGTTACTGTTATTTTTATTTATTTTAAAAATATTGTAAATTTATTTTTTTTATCAAGTAATTTAGTGATTAGAAAAAATTTATCGTTTTAAAAGTGAATAAGTGGGATGTCGCGAATTCAAATTTATCTTTATGCATTTGATCTTTTTGTATAATTACCAACTGATTTGGCTTAACAAAAACCTAAATATATTTATGTTTTATCCATAAGTATTGTTATAATATTAAATTTGAAGGTTTTGTGCTCAAGTTTTGAAGACTCTGAAGAACAAGATTTTGCACTCAAGTTTTAAAGAACAAGATTTAAAGACTTTGAAGACTGAGTTCTAAAGAATTGTGTCAAAACTCTGAAGGCCGAAGTTCTGAAGATTCTCTCAACTAGTCTTTTGATCCTTCTAAGTATGCTTTAACATCATTTTATTGGGGTGTCATTAGAAACACCACAAAAGAATAGTCTAGCATTAACCTCGCATGTCTTATAGAGAGAAGCTCTCGCCTCTCTCTAAACTTATCGTGTATTTTCCATCGCTTCACCTTCCTAGGGTTAGACGGTGGTGGTTCATCTCCTCATTTTCCACTGGTTTCTTCACAAATCTTTCTAGTTTTCTTTTTCTTCTCTAATAGAAGTCTCGTCTTTATCTCTTTACCATTTATATTAGTTCTTCATTGTTGTTGATCCTTTTATGGAGAAATGGAAAAATGTGTCATTATCGAGAGAAGAAAAGGAAGGAGTTATGACAGAGCTCGAAGAAGTTCGTGGAGAAGAAATGTTCCAACGAACCCTTGCGGGTAAGCTGTGGACAAACAACAATTTCAACGCTCGTTCATTCACTTCCACAATGATTAGCGCATGGAAGTTGAAGAATCCGATAGAGACATAAGAACTGAGTAAAAACCTATTCGTATCTTGTTTCGCTACGAAAAGAGATCTTGAAAACGTTCTCATAAGTGGTCCTTGGAGTTTTGACATGAACTTACTGTCATACCCTAAATTTGTCCTACCTCTTTTCAAATATTTTTGCTTTTTTCGATTTTATTTTCACTTATGCATTGCCCGCTTATTTTCTTGTTATTTAGGCACGTGTCCGCTTGCCATTGGTTTTTTTTTTACTTTTATCCTTTTCGCCCAATAAAAGCATGACAAACTGTTCATCTCCCTCAAACACCAAAAACGGCGGCCAAAACCCTATCCGTCTCCTTCCCCATCTTCTCTGTAAAAATGATCCAACATTACCATCAATGAAACCCTAATGACTACTGTTCACCATCTCTCCGAAAGCGTAATTCGGCGCCGCCATCTCCGAACCTTCACCATCATCAAACCTTAACATCTTCCTCTCTCAAATCCGCCATTAAAGGCCACCAATTCATCGCCTTCCTTCCCCGTCGCAACCTTAACCCTTCCTTTCCCCTCAAAACGGCTCCGCAATCCCTTTCTCCCAAACCCCACAAGCAAAATCACCACCTCCGCCTTCGTCTTCATCATCCTTCCCCACTAACCACATTATTCTGCCAAATCTCACAAGAAACCAACACTCGAACTTACTGTTGATGTACTAAGTTGAAGCAAGCTTTACGACGAAGGTTGTCGCTAAAGGAAGAAGAATATTCTTTGTGGCCGTGAGAAGAATCTTAATCGTAATCACCATGCAAGTGTGCCTGTCTCCGCCGCGATTCACTTTGCCAACACCAACGACATCTCTGCGTCGTAAGTGTATCGGTACAGTCCCTGTAGCTCTCACGATTCGACGAATCCGACGACACATTTTTGAGCGGCACGGTTCAACAACAATGACATCTCAGCTCAATGACAATGTCGATCTCAGCTAGTATTTGCAGTGGCTTTCGGCATTTCGAGTCGTGCACGAGCTTCATTTCAAAAACAACAACAAACACGGTTCCGACTTCACCGCAACGCCGACAACGACTATGCATTAGCTGTTGATGTTGCCATCACTCTGCGTGTTGCTGCCATAGACTTAAGTTGGATAACAGGTGGATTTGGTTTTACCACTTTGAGTGCAGGATTCTGGTTCGACGATAACCGCAACACTAGCATCGTCAGAAGCAATGATAACTTGGTAGAAAGCAATATCAAGCGCAACTCGGTAGCTTCATCGTGTCTTTTGGTTGGGGTATTTTTCATTTTTCTGCTTATGTTTAATCTTTGCTGATGTTATTCTCTCATTGTCGATATTGTTTTCAATGCTGCTTTATGGATTTGAGCTGTTTTGTGTGGTTTCAATTAAGATGGCTATGTTGTGTTATATTGTATATATTGTTGTTTTGAATTCGTGAATGTTTGTGGAGTTTTGTGTATTTACTATGTATATCTATAGTTGTTGCTATTGCATATTAACTATTTTAAGTGGACGCCCAAAGTATAAAGTTGCAGGACAACACTGTTAAACAGTGTGGCATTTTCGGTTTGCCTACAATTACGCCCAAGCTAGACTGGAAATTAGGTTCTTTAGCCCAGCAAGTAGCAAGATCATCAAAGCTACTCTCAGAACCAACATAATAAGACGCTTCTTTCTCTTCATAAGGGATAATAAAATCATGAACATGAAGAGTTCCTTTTGTTCCAATAGCTGTTATATCCATTGTCAAGTTCGCCAAGAAAGAGGAATGGAATGTTGCTACTCTTCCATCTTCCCAATATAGTGATGCTCCACAATCCAATATAACTTCGTCTTTATTAAGAACTGGTTTGTGCAAGGCAATTACGATTTTAGGTAATTCGTAGTTGGAAGCTATTAGGATTGCATGAATTCAATACCAACCAGCGTCTCCTAGGGAGCCATATGCATCAAGATCTGGCTTCACACGAATGTTTTTTGTTTTTAAAGAAAAAATTAATTAGATATTGGTTATTGTTTTTGACTTTGTTATTTAATTTTGTTAATAAATTTTAATTAGCCTAATTATTTGAGTTAATCAAATAATTTAGATAATTAATTTTGATTAACATAATTAATTAATTAATGGAATTCCAATCATTTAATCCTTTTAATCAATTTTAATTAATTTAATTATTCGATCACATTAGTTATTAATCGAATAATTTTAATAATTAAATTAGATTAAGCTAATTAAGTGGTTCAACAATCTTTTCTCATTTTTAGCTTTGATAATTGAAGTGGGCCAATATCGAAAGATTCCTAAACTCAAGACAATGTTGTTTGAGCGCACTTACGTTTGTGTTATTCCTCCCCATTCGACAAATGTATCCCCCACAAATGTAATAGTTTTATAGCTTTTTTCCTTAATTATGCTTTAATGCTTCAAAGTCTTTTTTTAAAAAAAGATAAATTCTCGATTTATCGAGTCATTTTTACCCATGTAAGTCGAGTGCTTTCAAAGCCTCGCCATCAACCTTTGATCACCATACACAATATTTTAAAGCTTAATCTTGGGCTTCCTTACAGTGACACCTATTTGATCAATTATTTTTAGTTGGTCAGTTAGAAGACTAGCCCACTTTGCTAGTGCACACGCTTAAAATTCAAATTCAAACATCGACTCACCTCGAGTACTTTTTCAAAGCAGGCTAAATCCTTGAAGTCTAGCACTTCTTGGGTTTTTGGACGATTGTTATTGAGGCGTACACCTTAAGTAATATATTGTTCGACTTTTAGTACACTCCTTTGGACAAAGAAATATCATAGGAATCTAGCATTCCGCGTGACATTTCCGTTGTTCATCCAAACATTTTTCGAATGAAAAAGGTGTTGTTAGGATCTAGCATCCAAATGATACCCCGATTAATTGATTGTGAGGCCTACGTCTCATTTACCAAATAATCGTCATTCCTCTTATACTTTTCAAATCCAATCTCGTATTCTCACTTCTCATACCACAAACTCTTTTCATACCCTCTATTCGATTCAAATTATTTTCTCAACATTTTCTGGATTCAAACTCCGAAAGAAGGAGGTTCTTGGAATCTAGCATTCCTTGGATCTTCAAATGAATAATTCTCGAGGCACGCCCTTGAGTTATTATTCACTCAATCTTTCGACTTTTTCAAACCAAATCATTTTCAAACACTCATAAGTCGAGTGCTCATACGCATTCGCAACCCACATTTTGCACACACATTCACAACTCATCGTGGTTTCGATATTAGGGGCACCCTTAGGGACTAATATCGTTTCTCACAATCCAACCCTTGATACGTCGTCAAGTCGGTTCCGTCTTTAATCAAATCCTCGACACGTCGTCGAACTATTTGCAAACCAACATCCTTTTGCCTTACATTCCGTTTTTGAATCAATCTTTTTACAAATGTTTTTTAAACTTATAAAAGAGGGATATTCTTAGAATCTGGCGTTCTTTGAATATTCGAATGAGTAACTCTCGAGGCGCGCCCTTGAGTTGTTATTAGTTCATTTTTTCAATTTCAAAATATCCAACTCTTTTCAACCCAATTTTCGAAAGAATTGAGTTCTTGAAATCGCGCATTCCTTGAATTCTTGAGTGATAAGCTCTTGAGGCATGTCGTTGGGTTGCTTGTCAGTCACTCTTTCGTCTTTCCCACCTTCAAACTCACTTCAATCCCGTTTATTTTTGTGGTTGTTACCATGAACTACGACTGCTCTGATTCTTCATTCTCGTCCTAATGTAAGATACGTAGGCACAAGATTGTGATAATCTTTGCGAGCTACCTTCTATCTATCCTCATGTTTCCCGTTTCTCTTCGTGGTTGTTACCACG